AGAGAGAGAGAGAGAGAGAGAGAGAGAGAGAGAGAGAGAGAGAGAGAGACAGACAGACAGACAGACAGACAGACAGAGGTACTTGATGTCCTCATGACCTCGTGCCACAATAAGCACAGACAAAACTGCGCTCAGTCTCGTAGGGATTGGGCCTTTCGCTTTTGGCAGTCTTTTCAGCTCCTTCTACGTTCTAGATAAGTGTTCTCTGAGAAGGGCTCTTAGAAACACTCTTTCCCGTTTTGGAAGTTGTGTCTTCATGTGGCAGATTGTTTCCTTTGCTCTGCACAAGATTTTAAAATAATTGATATATTCCATTTGTCAATTCTTGGCATGGCTTCTTTTTCTTTTTCTTTTCTTTTTTCATACCAGGAATCAAACTCAGGACCCTGCACTTGCCAGGCACATGCTGTGCTGCTGAGCTCTCTGCCCAGCCTGTGGCGTTCTTTCTTATGCCGGCAAATTTCCGTTCAGAAAGTCTGAGTCTATGCATACAGCCAAGAGTTTTAAGTCTTTTTATTATTATTTTTTCATGTATTTGGTACAGGGTTTCACTACACAGCTCGGACTTCAGAGTGATCCTCCAGTCTCAGCCTCCCCTGTGCTGTGATTACAGATGTGCGCCTCCACACCTGGGCTCGGTGGCCCGCTCAGGGCACCTGGGGGCAGGGCCAGCACAGCCTGTGGTGCCAGGGATCGAATCCCTGCACTTGCCTAAGCAGGTGCTTAGTCCTCTGAGCTATCTTGCTGGCCCTTAGGCAAGAATTTTACCTATGCTATCTTGCAGCAGACTCAATATTTGTGATTTACATCTAGGTTTTTGATTCATTTTGATTTGATTTTAATGCAGCATAAGAGATGTGGGTCTAGATTCATTCCTCTGCCCATGGTACCAGTTTTCCCTACATTACTCTTTACAGAAGCTGTGTTTTCTCCAGCATTTAAGTTTAGCCCTTTGTCAAAGAGCAGATGATTAAAAATGTAAGGGGCTGTGCTGTGTCTTCTCTTCTGTTACATTACTTACACGTCCATTTTCTGTACCAGTGCCCATGCTGATTTTATTACTGTAGCTTTGTGGTATAATTTGAAATCTGAGATTTTAACTCCTCCACAATGCCTTGGCTATTCTGGGTTGGCTTTTGTTCCACAGAAATTTTAGTTTCTTCTAGTTTTTTGAAGTGTTGTTGGCAGTTTGACTGGAATTGTATTAAATCTATATACCATTATTACAACTGGGCATTTTCAAAATACTGCTTGTGTCTATCCAGGTACAAGGGATGTATTTCTTTTTTTCTCATATTCTCTTTAATCTTTTTTTGTTTTTCAGACTACTATAGTTTTCATTATAGGAGTCTTTATTTTATTTATTTATTTATTTATATTTTAGGGAAGGGTCTGCAGGGTCTTCAGAGTCTCACTACTAGATTGGACTCCTAGTGATCCTCCTGTTTACAGCCTCCCAACAGCTGGGATTACAGGTGCACACCACCATGCCCAGTCTCAATCGCCGTCTCAGCATGCCTCAGGGATGGGGCAGATTAACTCGGTCTTGATCTTTATAATATCTTTTGCACTGTGCTTGCCTGTGTGTCGAGGTTGTTCACAGCCACGTCCACGGAAGGAGTTGGCCTGTGGCTTTCTTTCTTTGTAGACTCTTCATTTGGTTTCATTGTCAGGGAAACGCTAGCTTAGGGGAAGGAGTCTGACAGTTCTCCTTCCCTTTCAATCAAGTGGATGAATTTTGATGTTAGATCTGGTAAAGTCAGCAGTGACTCTACCAGGCCTGCAGCTTCCCTTTGCTGGAAGAGCTTTTAAAGATCATTTTTATTATTGGCACACATTTGTAGTACGCAGTGTGGGGTTGGTGGCACCTGGTCACGGCACATCTCAATCCCTTTCTTCCTCCTCTCTCCCTTCCTGCCCTCCCTGTTCTGCCCCCTTTCCCCCTTGAGAAGCATCTATCTCCCCACTTTCTCTTATCAACCTTGTATGTTTGCTCTTTATTGATATTTTGAGTTTCTCATACAAGAGCAAACACGTAACATTTAAGCTTGTGTGTCTGATGTATTTCACTTAACATTATGGTTTCAAGGTGCTTCCATTTTTTAAATATAATTTTTTTAAATATAATTATGTATTTAGTACAGGGTCTCGATACACAGCTCAGACTAGTAGTGATCTTCCTGTCTCAGCCTCCCCAGTGCTGGGATTACAGGCGTGTGCCGCCTTGGGAAGAACTTGTTCCAATTTATTGATTCTTTTCCTTATTTTTCAATTTCAATTTCATTAAGTTCTACTCTGTTCTTTTAAATGTTCTTCCTTGGGGCTGGGGAGATGGCTCAGTGGAATATGCGCTTCCCTGGCAAGCGCTAGGGCCTGAGTTTAATCCCTGGTTCCACCAAAATAAATAGATAGATAAATAAATAAATAAATGTTCTTCCTTATATCAATTTTGGTTCCAATAGTTCTTATTTTTTCTAGGATGTTGAGGTGCATCCTTAAGTTATTTACTTAGGGTTAGTCTGGTTTTCTAGTGAGGGCATTCCCAGCTATAAACTTCCCTCTTGGAAGTGTTTCATCGCGTTCCAGAGGTTCTAGTATTCTGTGCAGCCATTCTCATTTGGCTCTGGGAGTATTTGCCCTCTTGTTACTGTATTGTGTTTATCTGATAGTCATGATTTCTTCTGTAATCCACCGTTCATTATTCAAGAGTGGATTACTTAATCTTCATGTATTTGGTAATTTCTGTGAGTTTTGCCATCAATTTCCAATTTCATTATGCTGTATTCTGGCAATATATGTGAGGATGTTTTGGTTGGTTTGTGTTTCTTGGTGTGTGCCTCATGACCTACGTGTGTGGTCTTTTTTTGAGAAAGTTCTGTGTGCTTCTGTGAAAACCCTTCTGTATCAGTTACTTTTCTCTCATTGCTGGGACAAAATACCTGACACACAAAATTAAGGAAGGAAAGGTTTACTTAGCTCACAGTTTGTGGAGGTTTTGGTCCATACTCAGCTAGCTCGAAGGCAGAGTGGCACATGGCAAAGGGCAGCAGCTCATGGCGGGCAGAAAATAGCAAAGAGCAAGAGCCAAAGGGCAGAAGCAGCAATAGTGGCCACAGAGGGCAAGTCTGCCTCCCTTAGGTTGCACCCAGGAGGAGTCAAGCCCTAGGCCACGGTTGCGGTTGCGTGGGTGCTCCCGGCCCCCCCGCAGGGCGGGCCTGAGGCCTTGAGGAATGTGCTGCCTCAGCCACTTCCCGGTGCTGTACCTGACAGAGACGCTAAGGAGTGATAATAAGATCCCTTTGATGAGCAAATTCACCCTTGAAACAAATGAAAAGCAACAAATCTCAGTTTTAAGACCTTGAGATGTTTTAGGCAAGAGAAGGTCAAATCAGTCCCGGTTAGTGGTAGGCTGAACTACTCTCCTGGAGACGCCCTGGGCTTGGCCAGTAGCCACAACCGTGGGTCCCAGGCGCCAAACTTAGACACCCACGCTGTGTTCACTGACTCTTTGCTTCGCTTCCAGACGTGGACGAGTGCCTGACCAGCGGGATCTGCCCTGAGCACGCGGACTGCATTAACGTCCTGGGGAGCTACCGCTGCAACTGCCATCCTGGGTTCATGCCTCAGGGCTCGGCTTGCGAAGGTGCGGGAGGCTGGCTTTTCGACTTTTCCCTGCCCAGTTAAATAAGGACCACCTCATCAGAGGACCATAAGAGGAAGGGGTCGTGACTCTCACTTTAGGGATGAGAAAACTGGGGCGGAGAGAGGTGGAGTCAGGTTTCCGCAGGTACAAAGCTATGAAGTGGTCCAGCTGGGGTTCGAACTTCCTTTGAGGAGTGTGTGTTAGGTGTACTTGGAAACAACGAGAAGCTATGTTCTATAGTGATTCTTCCAAAATATTTTGGCAGTCTCCAGAGACTATTATTATTACTATCATTTTTTGTAAGGGGGCTAAATCACAGACATTCCCATTGAGCTGTCTCCAGCCCTCACTAAATTGTCCAAGATGAGCTGGAAATTTCAATCCTTCTAACTCAACTTCTAGAGTATATTGGATTACAGTCATGCACCCCAAGCCCAGCATCTGGAGACACCTTTGGTCATGCCAACCAGTGATAGGTAGGAGTCATGCCTCGGGTGGCATGCTGTCGATAGACGCTAGAGGTGCTGCTAAGCCCACAGGCCTGCTTCACAGCCAAGAACCATAGAGCCTCACGTGTCAGTAGTACTGAGGAGCCGCGTGTGGAAGCACACGACAGTAACCCCAGCACTTGGGAGGCTGAGGCAGGAAGACTGCTGTAAGTTCAAGGCCAGCCTGGGCTATGTAGTGTGTTCAAGGCCTGGCTAAACTACAGAGCAAGACCTTGCCCCCCCCCCAAAAAAAAAAGTACTGAGGAGAATAAAACCTTCCTTAGGAAGAGCTAAGACCCAAATTTCAGAACTTTCCCTAAAACGGCATTTGCATTCAGACCTCAGAGCAGTACCCCATCTTCCCTTCTCCTCGTCACATCTGGGGAGTGAGCCTGCTGGTACTTCTGGATTCCTCCGCCGTATTTGCCTCAGATCTCTGGCAGCTGACTTCCATCCTCTCCTCTTCCCTGCCTCTCTTCCCCCTTTCTTCTTTCCTTCCTTTCTTCCTTCCATCTGCCCTCCTTTCCTTTCCTTGTTCCTCCTCTCTTCCCCTCACCTTCCTCCCACCCTCCTTTTGTCCGTTCTTCTTCCGTCCCCAGGCTCCTCCCTCCCTGCCTCCTCCTCCTTCCCTTGTTTGGTTCCTTGTTTCCCCTCTCCACTCCCTCTCTTTCTTCCCTTTTTTTTCATTCCTTCTTTCCTCAGTCCCTTACTCCCTTTCTTTCCCTCACTCCCTTCTTCCTTTGTTTCTTCCTTTCTCTCTCTCTCTCTCTCTCTCTCTCTCTCTCTCTCTCTCTCTCTCTCTTTCATGGCCGGCTCAGCACGCCCTGGGACAGGGCTAGCATAGCATGTGGAAGGGAGGATTCCCTTCCCATCTAGCACTGCAACCACCGCTGATGCCGGTGCTGCTCAGATTCAAGGGGAAGGAACGGGCTCCAGAACTCGCAGGGACCAACACCAAAGCCGCCCCGTGTGCAGAGCCTACGGAGCAGGAGATCTGGCTTCCTTCATCTTCAGAAAGCCCAGTCGTCTATGAGGAAAGATGAAAATTGGTTCCTCCATCTCTTTCTCTGTTAGATGTCAGTGAATGCTCTAAAAGCCCGCACCCTTGTGATCCTAGCATAGTGCACCAAGACGTGGTGGGAACTACAAGTGCAGCTGTCTGCGGACGAGTTTCCTTCTACTGGAGATGGCTGGGGTGTGTGAGACAGGACCCACTTTCAGAATGCCCAGCAACACCATGCTGAGCACCTTACCCTCTAAATTTAGATATCTGATCTCTGTTCACTCATTCTTGTCTCCATTCAGACATCAATGAGTGCCTCCTAAGCGGGATATGCCCTATGTATTTTGACTGCATCAACTTCCTGGGAAACTTCAGCTGCCACTGCCAGGCTGGCTTCATCTCCAGGGGCTCCATTTGTGAAGGTACCAGCTTGTCATCATTTCTGTGCCCCTCACTCCCTCCTCATTAGAAGACCGTAAGAGAAATGATTATGATCTTCATCTTGGGATAAGAAAATTGGAGAGGGCTGGGGAGATAGCTCAGCAGTCTAAGTGCCTGCCTGGCAAGTGCAAGGACCTGGGTTTGATCCCCAGCACCGCATACCATGCAGGCCCCAGAACTGGGTGTGGTGGCTCACACCTGTAATCCCAGCACTAGGGAGGCTGAGACAGGAGGGTTACTATGAGTCTGAGCTGTGTAGGGAGACCCTGTACCAAAGAGAGAAAGAAAGAAAGAAAGAAAGAAAGAAAGAAAGAAAGAAAGAAAGAAAGAAAGAAAGAAAGAAAGAATAATATTGGGGGTCAGGAACAAGAGGTGACATCATCAGGGCTATACAGCAATGGTGTGGACCTGCTAGAATTTGACTTCCTACCGAGGCCAGTGGGCGAAGCAATGGGCATTGGGTAGGAGTGTGAGGAACTCTCATCTAGAGAGAGATGTTTCATACAGAGGACAGTGGCAATGTTCAAAGACTTTTTCCCGTGCATAGCACTGGGTACTGAGTCAAAGACTTTGTCACTGAGCTGAGTCCCCAGCGCCTTTTATTTTCTGAGACAAGGCTTTGCCCAATTATTCAGGCTGGTCTTGAGCAGAAGGTCTTCCTGGCTCAGCTTCTTGAGGGCTTGCAGGCATGCACCGCTGTACCCAGTTGCCAGAGATATTTTTGAGTCACGGGGAAGAAAGAGAGAGGAGTCAAAGTCACATTCACTTCTGAAGCACCTTGGCACAAAAGGGACAATTATCGTCATCCCTCCCCACATTCCCAGAGTGAAGACTAGTCAGAGTGTCTCACTTGGAGGCTGCTGGGAAATGTAGTTTTTGGCTGAGACACCATCTTTCTAGGACAATGGACCACATATACAAGGATAGTCTTTCATGCGATTACAGTATAATGCAGGGGAAATTTTTCTATTACCTACTGATGTAGTTCTTTTAGCACAGTGTATTACTTATATATTTATTGGGATGCTGGCATAACAGATTTATTGCACTATCAACTGATTTATGGATCATACATAACAAACATTACTGGCTTATGCATTTTGTCTGCTCTTCCTTTTACTATTATTTTAGGGGGGGTGTTCCTACCCATTAGAAAGTTAACCTGAAAACATTATTCTATGTTAGACTACTGACAGCCTCTGTGATTACCATGTCTCTTGGCTGCATGGAAAGGCCACCTCAAATGACTGACCCACACCACCTAGCTGTATGTAAACGTAGCCTGTGTTCCAGTGTGTTCAATCCATAGCCTGTGAGCCACATTCAAGCCTGGACAGCTAGGAAAGCGAGCCAACGAGATCACATAATTTTATGTGATTCTGTGTTGTTGGGCAATGCTTTTCATGACTTGTGGATGTGATCCCACGGTGTGAACCATGTAGGTAACCCCAGCACTCGGTGCCAGCAGGAAGGGTGCCTCCTGCAACCAGCACATGGCCAGTCTAAGCGAAGCCTCTGTGCATCTGCTATCACATGTATGATTTGCTGTGTAAAATGTAGTATTACAGATCATGGTATTTCAACCTACCTACGTTTGTGTGTGCCTGTGAAGACAGGCATTTGTTATTATCAAGCCAGTAGGCAAGTTTTCTAATTAATTATTGTGATAAATCAATAATTAATTTCTATTGATTATTGACAGTCCCTTCTCCCCTTGATTTAGCAGTCCACAGCACCAAGCATTCGGTGTTCAGTCCTTTTGTTATTCTGTAAAATAACTTAACAGATTGATTTTTTCTTAAAGGAAGTTTTTTTACTTATCTACATTCACCAAGTTCTCTGTTTTCTGTATGGCCCAAGACAGTTCTTCTTCATGCAGTGTGGCAAGCCACGCAAGCCAAAGCCTGCGCGTGTGTGGTCTATGGTTTTCACACAATACCAAGGCCCACATGATGCACTTATGCACACCTGCTTCACGAGGAGAGTCAAGACTGTCCTTTAGAAGGGAAAGCAGGGATTCGCCAGTCACACGGCCACCTCTCACTTGACACCCAATCTCTGCCTTGTAGATGTCGATGAGTGTGTTGACTCCTGTCCCCCCAACTCCACCTGCACCAACACTTTTGGGAGCTACTTTTGTAACTGTCTCCCCGGCTTCACACCAAGCAATGGACAACAGAATTTCACGGATCAAGAAGTGAAATGTGAAGGTGAATGGAGGTTTGGCCTGACAGCTGCCTGGGAAAGAGGTTACACCTTGTTCCTCTGAGATTCTTGATATCCTTGAACTCTTTGCAGATGTGGATGAATGCTCCCAAGATCCATCACCTTGTGGCCCACATTCTGTCTGCACCAACGTCCCAGGCTCCTACAGCTGCGGCTGCCCCCCAGGCTTCCGGCCCAACCCGGAAGGCTCTGAGACGCATGGCAACTTCAGCTGCAGAAGTAATCGTCTCCTGCGTGTGTTGGCTATGGAACTGCTGTCTTGCTTCACCTGTGAAATCCTCCTTGTATCAAATCTCTGCTCCTTTCTCTCACTTTCTCTGCATCCATAAACAGTATTCCCTCTCTGTTTTTACTCACTCAGTAATCCACTCATTCGAAAAATTATTTTTGGATCAACAATTAATTAATTAATTAATTAATATTTAGCAGTCCACTGCACCAAGCATTCAGTATTCAGTCCTGGTCTTGATGGGCATACTACCTGCTTTTATGTAGTTTATGGTCAAGGACAGTGTCCAGAGAGCACATACCTCATTAGTAATAATAACCAAAAGGAATGCAACAAATGACACAGTAGAGTATGTTTTGAGGTAAATAATGGGGTATTTAATGTACTCTAAGCAAAGACCTTCCAGCAGTGGCTCCCGGGAGGAGTAGGCTCCACCCCGATGAGGACAAGGCAGGCGCCGAGGACCTGAGCTCGTGCAGAGAACAGGCATACGTGGGGCAGATGTGCCTGGTGCTGTGGGCACAGCCCAGACTATCCAGGGCCTTGGGTGCTATGCAAAGCAGTCTAGAGCCTTTTATCCTCAAGAGTGATGGAAGACCATGCAACACTTAAAAATTTAAATGATGAAATTTTTAGACATTAAAAATATATCCGCAAGTGGCTGCAATGACATCTAACAAAGCAAACGTATCTGAGGCCCTTCTCAAATGGGGACAAGAATGTCTTCAGTGCCACTGTGTCACCTCAACAGTCCCCACTCCATCTTTCTGTGTCCTTTCTTTTTTTCTCCTACTTACAAATCGCCCCTCTGGGTAAGCCCCTCTAACTGCACCTACCGTCATTTTCCTTCTCTGGGAGCCCTGTGAGAAGTGCTGTCATTCTCTTTACCATTTTCTGACTTGCTGCTTTCTCTCAGAGCCCCCATGCTGGGGTAGCCTTGCAGCCACTGAACCCTGATTGCTGTGCCCTGTGACTCCAGGTGGGCAGATCCTCCCCAGGGAGGTGGGAGCCAGGCTTGCCTTAATTCCTTGCTTCCTGTGGTTGCAGTTTGATTTGGTTGCTTTTGTTCACCTCCTAGGGGTTCCATTCAAATGTAGGAAAGATATAGTTCCCAACAATGAACGGATCCAGCTCTGCCAAGAAGGGTCAGCTGTGGACCGTAATTATGTAAGTACTGGGGAAAGGTCCTAGTTGTTGAGGTTTCCCAAGAGGCCACTTCAGTGGGTTGTTGTTGTTGCTGTCTTAGCAAAACTGGAAATAATAGTGTCCTAAGACAGCAGGTCTGCAACAACCTGACAGTCCACAAGGAAGAGCTTATTTGGTGGCTCATATGTTGTCACTACCAACACAACACTATTGCTTTGTGAAGGGCTTGCCAGTTAGCTCAGCTGTTTAAGAGCCTTCTTATGCAAACACAGTCAGGTGCAGGATACCGCAGTTCGATCCTCAGCTCCTCATGCCTTACAAGACCTGCCCTTAAGGCAGTCTGAGACAGCTGGGAAAAAAAATCCTTCTCTTGCTTTGTGGTTCACTGTGGCTGCTCCTGCTCCTGCCATCACATCTGCCTTCCAGCTGGCAGGAAGAGGGGAAGGAGAAGTCAAAGGCACAGTCTTTCCCTTTATAATTATGCCACGTTACACTTCTGGATTTACATGTTGGCCGGAAATTAGTCACATGGTCAAGTATAGCTGCAAGGGAGTCTGAGGAGAGAAGGAACTGAACCCGTGCACAACTTCAAAATTGCTTTACTCAAATGGGAGACATTCTGGGAGGCTCACTGCCAGCCAAGGATTTGATGCTGATCTGAGTGATGCGGGAGGGGTGATGCAAAGTTCAGCCAGGCAAACAGGAACTTGGATGTGCTGATTGCTTAATGAGATACCAAAGTTAGCAACATTTCAGGTCACCCTCAGGAACTGACATCACCACCCCACAATCAGGGGCTACTGATTTTCTATCTTAAATTTTGACAAAACAGACTCAACATAAAATTTACTATTTTAAAAACAATTATAAAGTGTAAGTTAAGTGGCATTTCGTGTATTTACAATGTTGTGCAGAAATTATAACTAGCTGGTCCCAGAACTTTTCCTTCATCCAGAAAGGAAAATCCATTCCTGTTGGTGTGCATTCCTCCCTCCACCATTCCTAGTGAGTCAGCTCTCTGTCCTGTGGATTTGCCCACTCTACATATTTCCTAGAATGAGAACGGTACAACATTTTACCTGCAGTGTCTGATTTCCCTCAATTACCATTAGGTTTTCAATTTACCCAATTGGTAAATTGGGTTTGCACAAGCTGCTACTGATACCAGAAGTGTTTTCTCTGGCTAAGTCATATTTGATTTGGGACACTTTCTCACCAATTTCCCTTTTTTTTTTTTTCTCAAAATAAGAGTTCTGCTGTTTGCTTCTTGTAATTATGGAAGATAAGGGCAATGTGATTCTAATTTAGTGATATAATAGTCATCCTTAAAGAAGGAGAAAATCTGGCATATGTTACTACATGATACAAATTAAGGACATTATTTTAAGATAGGTAAGCCAGACATAGAAAAGCAAACTCTGCACGTTTCCACTTAGACATGCAATCTAAATCAGACTCATAGAAGAGAGGGGAATGGATTGTGTCTGTGTGTGTGTGTGTGTGTGTGCGTGCATGCATTTGTACATGTGTTTGTGTATGTGTATGTATATTAATGGAGAAATAGGGGTGAAAGATTAGAAAGTCATGGATACATAGAAGGAATAATTTTTAAAATATCCATTGAACAAGTGTGGTGGCTGAAGTTAGTAATAATCTATTGAATGTTTCAAATTGTTGAGAGTGAATTTCAAATGGCCCTACTACAAAAAGTGATACACATTTGTAGTGAGGGATATGTTAATTATGTGGATTTAATCTTCTCAGAATATCTATCTATCTATCTATCTATCTATCTATCTATCTATCTAATATATATGCATCGTTTTGTACCTAACAAACACAATTCTAATGGGTTCATTTACAATAAGTATCTTTTTTATTTATTTTATTTTATTTTATTCCATAATTTTATTGAGAAACAAATAGCAATGAGACAGTTTCAAACCAAATTGGCAGGACAGTTTCAATAATTAACACATTGCATACATTCTCCCTAGTGGTTAATTGCTGTACAAGATGCGGACATGATATCCTATTTACAAACACCATTAGAACAGATCACTCTATTCATTAAGAGAATGTAACTATATATCTATCCTAACCACTTTGAATACACAGATATAAAAAGGACATTCATCTGTATCCCCTTTTTTTGTTAAGTTCCGTCATTTAAATATTATAGGTGTGTAAACTCAGCAAACTATTCTAAAATAGTCCAGTAGTCCATAATAGTACTGGGTCTTCCGCTTCACTGGCAATGCCAGAAATTGTTGACCTAAGTCCCCTACAGCTCAACGTAACAACATGGCTTTACTTCTTATATTTCGTTTTTATACTTTTCTGCTGGATGGTTAAGACCAAGGTAAAGCAGGACCTATGCAACAAGAGTTGTAGCTTTTGGGTTTGATAAGGTCAGTGAAATCCCCTCAGGATTTATCCTGAGATCCTGTACCTCAGATTGTAGAACCTTTGTCAGTGTCAGCCATGTGGATGAGTCACGGCCATTGCTCGGCCAATGTGCTCTCTGTGAAAGCCTGAGAGAATGTTTTCTCTCCATGTGACTCTCCTTAGGCACACTCTACATCATCGATCACTTTCCTCTTTGGCCCCATAATCTCCTTGATCAGAAAATTTGGGACACTACCGAGTTACATGATGTTACTACAATAAGTATCTTGATGAGTTTCTTTCTTTTTTTTAAGAGGAGCACCGGAGATTGATTCAGGACCTTGCACTTATTCTACTGAGCTATCTCCCAGGCCTCTTGATGAGTTTCTGAACTTAATCTAATTTTTATTAGTGCATACTATGGTGCCTCTTATTAGAGTCCAATGTACTCCTTCCCTCTCTTTGTCATTTGTGCTGAGAGCCTCTGTCTTTTCTAGTTACTCAGACGCTGTGCCCTAGGTCCTTGGGAACCACTTGCTGTACCATAGCGGACACCATGAGCACTTACTTCTCCTGCACAACCACGCTTCAGGATGTTTTACCCAGCATTCTTCTGTCTACTTCCCATGGTTCCTCTCGCTTCTTGCAAAAGAAGTTCGTCTGTTGAGTTTTATTTCCATGTGGATTCTAGAACCTCAGGAGCTCAGGCCAACCCACCTGCTTGGCTGGGTGGCCCCTGCTGTAGATGTGGAGCCTGGGGGGCACTGGCTGGTGCTCACAGGGGCTCTTTCTTCGGTGGGTGCAGGTCTCCTTCTGTGGCTTCATGAATACCACCTTCAGCGTCCTGGATGATGCCTGTGACAACAAAACCACCGTCGTGTCCCTGGAGGTAACAAGGGGGTATTTTCCATTGTGTTAGAGTTTCTAACATTCTGCAGATGTTTTGGGTGCAGAAGGTCATCCTCGTAATCATGGCTCTGTGATTTCACCTTTCCCTTATTGCAGTGTTTACAGTTGTAAAACCAGAGTCCTCTCAAATTAGCTTTTCAGATGTTGATTGTAGGTTCTATGAAGACCTGAACAGAGTTGTGGGACTAGCACCAACAAGGATGCAGCCACTTTTGTGTCCCCCAAAGCTTTCCTTGACCTTTCCCTCTTCTATCTAGAAGTTTCCTTCTCCTCCAACCCTATAAATCTCTCACTTGCTCCCCCTTGCATCTGTCCCTGATGTGTCATTAATGGGATCCCACAGTATGTACCCTTATGAGACTTTTTTTCTCCCTAAGCATCATGCCTTTGAGAATTGCACATGTTATGTTTACCAATAGATCCATTCCTTTTTATTAACCCATGAGACACTTAGGACACTCACAGTGCTATACATTCAACATGACTTTATAGGTCCAGACATTTAGACCATCTCCTCACCACCTGCCACCAGAGGAAGCCCTACACTCCTCCAATACCTGGTCCCCATCTCCTCCCCTGGCACCCACCAGTCTACTTTGCACCCTGTGGACTCCCATGAAAGGCATCACACAGTCTTTGTCCCTTTGTGTCTAACTGCTTTCACTGAGCATAGAATCCTCAAGGTCCTTCTGTGTCACGGCATAAATGTGGGTATCATCCCTTGCCATGGCTGAGTGGCATCTTTTCTCATGAAGGGACCACATTTTTTTAATCCATTCACCTTTTTTTTAAATTTTTGAGGCAGAGTCTTGCCATGCAGCTCAGGCTGGCCTTGAGCTCACTTTGTAGCCCAGGCTGGTTTTGAACTCACAACAATCCTCCTGCCTCAGCCTCCTCAGTGTGCTAGGATTATAGGCATGTGCCACCACGCCTGGCTAATCCATTCATCTTTGAAAAGGCGTTTCCAGCTTTTGGCAGTTATCAATAAAACCATTATGAACCTTAATGTACAATTCTTTTATTTAGGTGAATTTGAGTCTTCCCTATGACACGTTCCTAGAAGCTGCTAGGCCAACACAGTTGTAGATATTAACGCCTAGCTTTTCTTAAGCCTGTGAGTTGGATTTATGCATTCAATTTTATTTCTAAGTATTTTAGTGAATAACAAGACATATACTTTGGTTATTTTGTTATGAAAATAAGAATAGAACTTTCATGTGTAATTTGCTTAGTGGAAAATTAATTTAACAAGTCTATTCAGTGTGCATTTGTATCATTTTCAGACTGAATTTCCTTAAGTAATTGACCCTGTTTAAACTTCCTGGAGCATTTTATTCTATGTTTACAAATAGTCTTTCTCTTTTTTTTTTTCTTTTCTTTTCTTTTCTTTTTTTTTTTTTTTTTTTTTAATGTATTTGGTTGTTGCAGGGTCTCACTGCGCAGTTTGGACTCGTGGTGATCCTCCTGCTCTCAGCCTCCCCAGCACTGGGATTACAGGCATATGCCACCACACCCAGACTCTGGCCAGCTCAGCCCACCCTGGGGGCAGGGCTGGCATGGCTTGAGGTGCTGGGGATTGAACCGTAGTTCCTGCATTTACCTAAGCTTGCCTAAGCAGGCACTTTAGTCTGCTGAGCTATCTCGCTGGCCCTGTTTAGCTCCCCTCCATACTTCAAATACTTAATGAGGAAGATTTGTAAAGCTAAAAGTTCTGGTCATCAGGGCCTTCAACTGATGTCAAATTCCATATATTCTAAGCATATACTCATTCAGAGTCTCCAAACAGTACAGTTCATAAGCTGCCACATTCTTGAAAATTGATCCTCTTAAAATTATAAATCAGATTGCAATTTCCAAGATTTTATGGTTCTCTATTGTATCCAATTGTTCCACACCTTATAAATAACAGAAGTTTGTAGATTTTTAGGCTAAAGAACTCAAAACCTTCTAAATTTCACATGTTACAAGTATAGATTTACAATGTCCATATACGTAGTTTGTCCTGAGAATTAGAAAAAATGTTTCCCATCTTAGAAGAATTAGGTCTCCTATTTCAGGGGATTTTCAGGGTAGGGAGATTTTATGAGCTGTAGAGTCAGGGTCCACATTCACCTGGGGTGCTTCTTTTTTTTTTTTTTTTTTTTTTTTTTTTTGGCAGAACCGGGGATTGAACTTTCCTTGCCAGGGAAGCGCTTATTCCACTGAGCCATCTCCCCGGCCCTCCTGGGGTGCTTCTGGATGGGGTTTTCTTGCCACATTGGCAGAGGATCCAAGACTCATGCCCTTCAGGGATGGGGTTAACACGCAGGATCTTACTTCCTGTGGAGAATCTGTGGACAATCAATTCTGTGATTTCACAGTATCCCACTTTGGTTGAAATCCTTTGTGTGTTTGCCATCTAATTTTGATGGGTGGAAGCTTTTCCCCATAATTAGGTTCCAGTATAATATCCTTTATGATATGATGAGAATTGATTCGTTTGTCTCCTCAATTTATTAGGTTCTGAGTTTTCTTTTTTTTTTTTTTTTTTTTTTTTTTTTTTTTGGTGTGGGTTAGGATCACAAGTTATAGTCAACTTATTGAAGGTTGCAGTAATAAGGGAACTAATTTGACATTGCGATTGCTGTTTTATTGCTTTTCCTACCTTGACTGTATTTCTCACACATAGTCAGTGTTAGCAGTTAGTTACGTGTATCTCCCTCTTTTTACCTTGTAAGTGAAAAAAAAAAAAAAAACCATGTGATTCATTCCTTGAGTATTTGCTATGAAATTTTGGGGCAGCGATTAAGAATTCAGCTGTGGGTGTTGGCCTGGAAAAGTTCAGAATTGGCTATTACGTCTACTAGACATAAATTTTTGTTTCTCCACACCAAACCAGGAAATAATTGCCACAATTTCATAGGTATAGTCTCAATATTAAATAAGTTAATATATATAGATAGATAGATAGATAGATATAGATATATATTCTTTTTCTTTTTTTCCATTTTCCTCTCTCGTTTCTTTCTTTCTCTGTCTGTCTCTCTGTCTCTCTGTCTCCGTCTCTCTTTCTCTCTTTGTGTCTCTGTCTCTGACTCTGTCTCTGTCTCTCTCTCTCTCTCTCATGCACACAGTATCTGGCTCATAACAAGTGTGCATTATTCCCATTTTATGGGCCAGAAACATACATGCCATTAATATAAATCTTTCAATTGATTATTATTAAGGCAGACGAGAGAGCATATCCCTACTATTCATAATTTTATCCACTTAATGAGCTGAGACCCTTCTTGCTTGCTCATACATAAACATGTACTACAACATGCTTCTTTCACAGCTGTCAACTATCCCAACTGGGTTTCATCTTCCTTAATTTAATCAATTTGTTGGACAGCTAGGATTTCCAGAAATCACCTGAAAGAAATATCATTGAACAAGATCATTGCACAATTTTTAAGAATTTCTGGAAGGAGGGCCCACCAGATAGCTCAGCAGACTAAAGCGCTTGCTTAGGCAGACAGTGACCAGGGTTTGATCCCTGGCGTGCCGTGCTGGCCCGCCTCTGGGGACACGCTGAAACAGCGAGTGAGACTGGGTGTGGTGGCGTGCTCCTGTAATGCCAGCACTTGAGAGGCTGAATACAGGAGGATCACTACGAGTCCAATCTGTGTAGCGAGACCCTGTGGAGCCTGTACCAAATACATAGAAAAAAGAATTTCTGGAATGATTAATTTCTAGAAGAGAAATTTCTGGGTCAAAAATTATGGCAGTTTCTGTTGTTAGAAGTGCCAACTTGCTGCAGCCTGTAGAGGCCAGTGAATCTGTATTCCCAAAGAGACCCCTTGAGTCAGGAAACGGAAGTAGACATTGGCTCTTTCCTCTCTTCTCTGGCTGTGCCTCTAGGCGTTAACTCATGAATGTGACAGGTGGAGCGCGGAGGAGAAGGCACAGGAGGGAGACGAGGAGGAGGAGGAATTGTAAAAGGTGGAAGAGTGAGGGGAGGAGTAAGAAATAGAAGGCACAAGTGTGTCTTTTCTTGCAGAGTAAGGCTGAGAAACTCACCTCTATGCTTGAAGAAACATCCACGTGGACCAAGTTCACCAAGGAAGAGAAGTCCACGCTGGCCACGGTCCTCATGGAGAGTGTGGAGAGCACCACGCTGGCGGCTTTGCTGACGTCCTCAGAGAATGCCAGCCAGACCGTGCACACAAAGCACTTAGGTAACTCCCGGGGGAAAGCCACCCTGGGGTGCCGCGCTTGAGGGGAGACCTTTTCAGTAAGATGCTCTGTAGCTTTCCTTTGCAGGCTTTGCTCAGTTGCTCCCAAATCCTCAATTCCCAACAGAGCAAGTCTGGCTCTACGTAGGACGGTTCCCGTTAGCTGTGCATTTGGTAAGGGTGTGGCCCGGGGCTAGAAGTACACCATTAGCTCTTGGATACACCCCGAGCACGCATCCCACAGGCTTTTCCATTTTCTGGACCTGCCCAGTAGTGCTGTGGGAGGAAGACCAAGCCTTGAGAGACTTCTACACAGTCAAGAGACTTCCACCGCAGTTCCACCCCTCTGGGAGCCCGGGGTGGAGGACCATGAAGCTCCAACGAGATTTCTCATTCTGGGCGCTGCTCTCTGCCTGTCATCTCTCCAAGGGCTCAGGTCCTTCCCTGTGGCAAAGAGGCCTTTCCCTTCTTGCCCTTGCTTTCAAGTTAGAATGTGGACCCATCTTGGACAGACACCCACCTCACACCCAGAACCCTTCTCTTGTGCTTCGTGTCCAGATGTCCCCCCATGTCTCATGTGGTCATAGAAGTCTTTTTAGAGGTAGTTGAATCTAGGCTGTATGGTTAACTCACAGTGCAGTACTGGAATGAGGGGTGCTGAGATTAAGGGTGTGTGATGGCTGGTCAGCCCACGGATTGGATTAGCACTGCCCTAAGCCCAGTAGATGGGGTATAATATAAAGGACAGAAAAAGACCTCTTTCTCTCTCTCTCTCTCTCTCTCTCTCTCTCTCTCTCTCTCTCTCTCTCTCTCTCTCTCTCTCTCTCT